TGAAGAACTGAAAACTTAATTGCTTTTGTGCCCCAAAACATGAATAGAACTGGTAGATTATCTCTTCACTGTCAGAGATACAAAGCAGAGACAGATCCTGACCAAATACAGGCTCAGTGACCACAGTCTAGCCACAGAGAAAGGACTACACAAGAAGCCTGGGCTGTCAACAGATGAAAGAGTCTTTGATCGCTGCATGACAGGTGAGGCAGAGACACAGATGCACTTCCTCTTAAAATGTGACAAATAAAAAAATATCACAGTGCAACACTTTAAGAAATTGGATTTTTTAGTCCCAAACTTCACAGAGCTAGATGGCAGTGAAAAGATTCTATTAGGAGAAGTACCTACAAACAGCATACAGTATACTTAACTGTACAATATGTGACTGCATGTAGCAAACTGCAGGAACACTAGTTGAAACAACATTACTGAATATGACAAATAATTATCTTGACAAAGCCTATCACACAGACACACAAAGTAACATGTACACATGTGGACCGTTTTGCTTTTACATGTTGTAGTTTATCTATGTTGTGTTATTGGTTTGTGGATTTGTTTTTAATAGTACTATTTTGTGTCTCAAAATTGCTTTCTATACTTTCATGCTAATAAAGCTAATGAACTGAAAGAATTGATTTGAAAAACAAATCAGAAAGCGTGTGTGTGTCTGTGTGTGAGAGAGAGAGCTGTTCAGTTCATGTGCAGCAGGAGATGCATGACGAGGTGTGGTCCTTACAGATATACTTGCCACATTTGGTGCAGGTGGTAACAATATTTTTTTCCCAGAACTATTCAGAGCTTTATAAACCAACAGCAGTATGTTTTAAATCAATTATATGACCGACAGGAAGCCAGTGGAAAGACCTGTGCAACGTCTGCACTGAAAAAAATATTGTTTTTTTATTTATTTATTTTTTTATTTTATTAAAAAATAAATAAAAAAATAAAAAAATAAATAAATAAATAAATAAAAAAAACAATATTTTTTTCAGTGCAGACGTTGCACAGGTCTTTCCACTGGCTTCCTGTCGGTCATATAATTGATTTAAAACATACTGCTGTTGGTTTATAAAGCTCTGAATAGTTCTGGGACTGAACACATTTCTGATCTTCTGCTACACTATGAACCATCCAGACCTCTCAGGTCTGCTTTCTGTTCCCAGAGTCAAAACTAAACATGGAGATTCAGCGTTCAGTTTTTATGCACCAGATATCCGGAACAAACTCCCAGAAAACTGCAGGTCTGCTGCAACTCTCAGTTCTTTTAAATCAAGGCTTTTTGATCACCTTTTATTGCTATCTACACTGCACTGTAAATGTTACTGTCCTGTTTTATCTTGTTTTTATTTTCCTTTTAATTCTTTTTAATTGTATTTAGACGTCTTTTGATATTATGCTGCTTTTGTTTTATGTAAAGCACTTGTAAGTGCCTTGTTGAAATGTGCTATACAATTAAACTTGTCTTGCCTTTCTGTAGAGCATGCACTAACTGTACGTCATGTTCCTATAAGCTGTATGAATGATAATTAATTGTTTTCAATTAACTAATTATACATTACTTCCCAGTAGATCAAGTGTTGATAACACAGTGAAAAGGTCATGTAAATCAAATGAGGATTTTCACACAAGGCTTGCTACCTGCTGCCAGAAAGTGATGTAATGACTATAACTGGTATGTAGATGTCCTTAGACCAGACCAACATGTGAAATGGGAAAGATCTCAGCCCTCACCACTTTTGGAGAATTTCTTTTTGAGGAGAGTAGCTTTATATTATATTTGTGCCACCCTGTTGTGTTGTGATTGGTCAGTCTATTTAACTTTAAATGAAACTTTTAAACACAGAAATATAAACTGTATGATACTGTAATGTTACAATGTGTAGAGCTGAAGGAACACACCTATTCTTTTAGGTATTTTGTTTCACACAGAAACAAGTGAAAAGATTCTACAATTCAATGTCAATGTCAGTAGAAGAACAGAGAGTGGAGAGACGAGGATTCACAGTGAAACATCTGCAGGAAGTGTTGAGTTTCATTAACAGAAGCTTAACAATGAGAGAAAGAACAGCAAAGTAGCACCTGTGCAACACACTGGTGAATATTTAATGAATGGCTGGAATTCATGCCGTGCAAATGTATATTATGCTTAACTTGTCGTGACAATCATTATAGTACAGATAATTTATACAAATTTTCTTGCTGAAACTGCCTCCTAATACACAAAAACTATAGTTTTATATAGTATATAGTATGGTGATTCTACTAAGCAGTGGGCTTTACATTCAGCTATTTTGATAACTTGTTTATTCTTCTTAGTTGTGTTTTCCAGTTATATTGCCAAGCAGTCACTATTTCACGATTTTCTGCTTGTATATGTTTTACATAATTGTAAAACATATACAAGCTCTGCTCCACTCTGTGCAGCTGGATCTCCCTGACAGGCAGAACCCCAGGCGGGGCGGGTGGGCAGCCACACCTCATCCCCCTGGAGACGTAGAGTCTGGATCTGTGTCTGCGAGTCACCTGCTGCCCTCTTGTTCCTGTACAACATCCACTGCTACAATTATAACTGGTATTCTTATAATCATTTATATTACTATAATCATCAGTACCATTATTCATTTTCTGTACCACTACTACTACTGTTTGTATTTCCTGTATAAATGTTGTGTTGCCACCCCCCCCCTCCCAACCAGTCGAAGCAGATGGCCACACACTGAGTCTTTCTTGAGGTTTCTGCCTCAAGGGAGTTTTTCCTTGCCTGTGTAGCCAAGTGCTTGCTGGTGGGAATTGTTGGGTCTCTAAATAAAATTACAACTCCACCGGTTGCAAAAAGAAGTCAGATTGCATTGGAGTCTATGACAACATGACAATATCATTGACAGCAAAGGTGGGAAGATGTGTCCTTCTTGCTGTACAAAACTTTTTTAGCGTTTCACCTGGTGCTTTATCTTAAATGGATCATGGCAATTCGGCATGCATACTGGGTGAGACTTTTTTTTATGATTTTTGTGTTTAAGTGAGTGAACGCCATTTTTCAATGGTCATGACAAGAACAGCACGCATGCTTATATCTTTATTAAATTGAATTAGTGATGAATCACCCTCATGCATGAATCATGCATCAAAAACAGCCTAATTTTACACATGATCCATGATTATAAAGGTACAGAAAAATAGAAATGCATGGTGAAAATAGCATATTGTCAATATTTTAGAGATCCCTCCCTCAGCATTTCATAAATCATGTTTTCATGGGCTCTTATGCCTTATAAAGAGCCAAGCTCCCCCTGGTCCCCTGTAGTTCCCAACCGGTCCTGAACCAGGGACTTTCACTTCACGTAGCCTTCATAGTTTATAATTCAAATAATAATCTATCCACCTGCCACACACTGCATAAAATATGTGTACCAGTCATATTGTTTTAGTTCTATGAAACTCATCCACAGTCATACTATTTAACTTCTCTGAAATACACAGATGTATTCTTTTACTAATTTCACTGGCCTGTGTATGATTGTGTATGTGACAAATAAATTGTTTTGCTGTGAAAATAATTGTTAGTTGCAGTTCTTGAGAGCTTGAGAACACCATTGATTTGTGTTTTGTTGTCTTTGTGCTTTGGCACAGCAGACTGGAGAATATCAAGTCCCCAAGTGCTACAGCCAACCCACTCTAGTCAGATTATTCCAGTAATGTTGTGACAGTGAGACAAACTCATCAGTTCAAAATAGATATAAGGCAACTCTATATTATCTGACATAGTTAACACTTTTTGCAGTACATTTCAGAAAGAAATAGTGTTCTTTTTACCGCACTACATTCATCTGACAACTGTAGTGAATATAATGTAAAGAGACAACAATTTAATGGGACTGTTCTTAGTGAGTACTTTTACTTTTCATTCTTTATGAATTAATAATTTAAGAGCCATTTTAATTTCATACTTTTATTTGGTATTATACTACTATGATTCCTTGTATTTTTCTCAAAATATTATACATATTAGGCTACAACTAATTTATTCACAAAATATAGATTTTTGTTCCTTGACATTTTTCACACCTTTTCTTACTTAAAATGAAACCTTTATTGTCATAATGTTTATAAAAAATCTGTAGGGTTTTTTTTCTTTGAAAAGTGGCCCTAGTACTCTGTTGTACAATCTAATCCAACAGTCCTATAAATACTTAATGCAAGGCTCCAGAATTAGATTTAGCTGTATTTTGTCACAGTGCAACTAAAAAAAATAACTACACACCTGTGCAGAACACTTCCGCTGCGTAAAGTAGTCAAAGTAGTCTACTACCAGGCAGATCAGATGACTATTATTATGTATTCATGATTATGAATGTATTATTGTATATTAACTTACTTTTATCCATTAACATCTATGGTTTAGTGCAAAAAGCATAGCTCCCTCACTTCTTATTCATAAAGGTCATTTCGGTGTTTATGATGCAGAAAAAAACAATCCTCCCAACATGGGCTGTCCTGTTTTTAATCATTTCTTGGAAACAGTGGCCTATTATGGCTGGGAGGTTATGCTATATCAGGCTTTGGACACAAAGAAAACTCTTTGTTCTTTTTCTTCGGGATAACAATAGAAACATCAAAAATAACAGCATTGAAACTGGTGAGTAAACTGTCATCCTAGATAATGGGAATGTTAGTGTGTGCACTTTCAATTGTTCCACAAATGCTAGATAAATACATAAATACAAAGTGTGTGTGTAGCCTATATATAGCCTAGCTTTTATGTTATTTTTCATTTCAACACAAATTGCCTCCAAATAAACACTGTGACACAGTATAGTCACTGAATGTGATTTTTTTCCCCCTCCTGTTTTATTATAACTTTGTGGGTCTGCTAGTTTAAAAAATAAGAAAAGGAATGAAGGCAGGAGTGGAGAAGAAAGGAGAAAAGGACGCTGCTAGACAGTGTTGGGTCGCGGCCCGCTGTATCCCTTCGACTCCGTTCACCTCCATTCACACAGTAAATAAAAGCATGGAGGCTCTGACTCTCGGGATCTAACACCGAGCAGCGGGGGGTAAAGACACTGCCGCATGCGCTCTCCCTTTCACCAAAACACACAGGAAGGACGCAGGCCAGCGGCGGACGCTTTGCCAGTTGGATTGAAGTCATTTTACGTGGAAGAGAGGATTGTAGTTGGCGACCGGAGCGGGGCAGCCCGCCGTGCTGAGCATGAAGCGGACGGCTGTAGTGGCCAGGCACAATGGCCTCGTCTCTCCGCTGGGGAACAACAACTCCGGGGCTTCGAGCATCGTCTCACCACCACAGCCGAGAGCCACTAGCATCTCCGCTTCTGCCGACAGCGGTGTCGTCGGTGGGATGGACGGCCTACTGGATTTCTCCAAAGGCCCCACCGTCAAAACTGAACTGGTCTGCAAATGGATTGACCGAACTTCTTCGAGACAGAGGCTTGGGCGGACGGCGACATCCGTCTGCGACCAAACTTTCAGCTCCATGCACGAGCTGGTGGACCACGTCACCACCGAGCATGTAGCGGCGGGTCTCGAGACCCTCAGTCACGTCTGCATGTGGGACGAGTGTATGCGCGGCGGGAAGGCGTTCAAAGCCAAATACAAACTCATCAACCACATTCGCGTGCACACCGGGGAGAAGCCCTTTTCCTGCGCATTTCCCAACTGCGGCAAGATGTTCGCACGCTCCGAGAACCTCAAGATCCACACGCGCACGCACACTGGTAGGGTTTCATTATTCTCTTGACTACACACACAGCGCTGCGACACACTCATCAAAGTCTCTTAAATCCGTGTCATCCGTCACGACAGCAGCCGCCTGCCTGAGACGGAGTATACAGAGGTTAATAGAGATTGTTCCCCAGTCTGCTAGGAATCCCCTCCATGTTTACGCAGGCTCCGTTCAGTTCCCATTCACATCCGCCCTTCATTGCTTCCTTGTTTCCTAGAGGAATCACGGGCCGAAACTGCAGCTCAGGAGTCATGCAAGGTGACAGGAAGCAGCACAAAGCAGCTGGATCATAAGGGAGGGGAAAGGATGAATGCTGTGTCTAATTGATTAGATGGACAAAACAGAAATGAGAGTGTAAAGTACACACGGCTGTAATTATCATTTTAATGCAGAGACTGCATAAAAACATAGCTTGCAGGAATTGTATTGTTTTTCTGAATTACCCAGACAAACACATAGGCAGATTTTATGTGTGTGTGTGTGTGTGTGTGTGTGTGCGGTTTTTAATACACAGTTACCAGTTTGTTAAAAAGTGACACTCAGTGAGACGGTTAGCCTACCCACTGCTGCTTTCTTCTCTCTATAAAGGGTTTAGAAAGTGTAACTAATGGCTTTATTAATGGTGAATAAATCCTTTACTAATACCCCGTAGATCAATTATATAACATCAATAAGAGCAACTCTTGGGTTGTCAGGTTGTGAACAATCCCTTTCGGCTGGTGTAAGTGTTTTTAAGGGGCATTTCATGGTTTTAATAGACAGTGTGAGGGAGAGAGCGTGGAAGATATTCAACATAGGTCCCCAAACAGCCTCCGCACAATGGAGATGTAGTGATAACAACATGTTCAGTATTTTAAACCCTGTTTTTGTTATAGCTTGTGAATAGCACTCCTAAATACCAAAATGAACTAGAAGAATCCCATCAACTGTTGAAACTGAGATATGCTGAGATAATCTCTTTATTTCTTCTATAATCATTTCAATTATTTCACATCATTTTCTCTGTAAACATTTTACATGAAAGATGCTATATTAAAATATACTCATCATAAGAATAATTATTGATATAGTTATTGTAGTGTGTCGACCTATCTGTTGGCTGCAGGAAGGAGAGTTCAAAATAATAATGTAGTGTACTAAGTAACTAAAGTAAATAAATAAGCCTACCTCTTACCTCTTGCGTTTATTTTTGAACATGACCCAGTTCTTCACGCGTGAGGAGATTCGTCAGATATATTGTTGACCCAGACACCAATATTATCAAGTTTTCTACTAGTTGAAGATAATAAGGAATTCACAAAGGATACTGTCAGTATTTCCACACCTGGGCTATAGTTTGGTGTCAAAATGACTTGTAGGTACAAAACCTTTTGCAATCCATGCAGTAGATGGCTTCAGTCAGCAGCCTAGAACCAGCTGCAGTGGCTGCAACATATTACTTCTTTTTGCCATTGACAGGCTCAGACTGTCACCAGGTGTCTGACTACATCATGGAAAGGATCCCTACGAGGGACTCCCAGTGACACCCTTTGTTTTCTTTTTTTAGTATTTTGGTGGCTTTTCTGCCTTTATAGTCTCCCTCAAGGACAGTTCTCGCTCTGAAATTTCGCAAGAGGCGAGATTTTGCATGAAGACCATGGTGGAAACGTGAGTCAGAGTTAGAGAGAGGAGTTTGTTGTGTTGGAGTAACGTTAGGAAATAAAGTCTTGCTAGCAGTTCCTCTGCATACACAACAAGCTCGTCTTCTCGTTTCCACCTTCCTTTCCTGCAATTAGAGCTGCAACGATTGATCGGTTAATCAACTATCTATCAACTAGGCTATTAAATTAATCGGCAGCTATTTGAATAGTCGTTGATTTGAGTATTTGTTTTAAGAAAAAAAGTAAATATTCTCTGATTTCAGGTTCTTAAATGTGAATCTTTTGTGGTTTCTTCACTCCTCTATGACAGTAAACTGAATATCTTTGGGTTATTGACATAACATGACATTTGAGAACGTCATCTTGGGCTTTGGGAAACACTGATCGACATTTTCCACAGTTCTCTGACATTTTATAGAATAAATAACTAATCAATTAATCAAGGAAATAATCGACAGATTAAGCGACAATGAAAATGTCTCCTGTTAAAAACAAAGGGGGTCACCGGGTGTCCCTCGTAGGAATCCATCCTTTCAGCGATGTTGTCAGACACCTGGTGTAACAGTCTGAGCCTGTCAGTGTCAAAAAGAAGCACTTTTTGTCGTTTGCAGCTACATTTTGTACCTACAGGTCATTTTTAAAATGTTCGGTAAATATTCAATAAATGTTTGACTTTATTCCCTTAAATCATACACCAATTAGGACTTGATTTATTTATTAACATGTTTATTTTGTTGAGGAAAAGCTTTTACTTAATTTTACTCTTGCATATTTGTTGACAAAGATTTTATCGTAATCGTTTGGAATGTTCTACCTCATATTGCTGAAGTGATCCACTGTTTGGCCTCAAGTGTTGACCATAAAGACGAGTTTAAACCACAGTTAACTATCAGGTTTCTTCACCTTTCACTCAGGAGCAAAAATCTGCCTTTAAACTCAAAAGAAATAACGATTTGATCGAAAGATATGAAATTTTTTTATCGTGATAACATTTTTGGCGGTATCGTCCAGCCCTATTCTAAACCCAAATATGTGAAAATAGGGTGCAGGTTTAAAAATACGCAAATGATTCCTTAAACTCTTTTGCTCTTAAATTAAGATCTAAATGGTTTAAGTCAAATCACTTCATGGGCGTACTAAAGAAACATTTACAAACAAAATTTCTTAAGAATCCTCAAGATTTCTTATTAATTACCTCCATCCAAAACCTGAACACCGTCCCACATCCATTAAATAAGAGTTCCTTGCTCATTACAGTCAACACCCGTGGATCAAACTGCACTCAGTGGCATTAAAGAAAGAATACATGTGTATGTCTAAATAGGCCTGAGTGGTGGAGTGTCGCTTCAACTGTACCAGTAGTTCCGGGCTCAGTCTAAACTGCGATAACGGTGCGTGTGATGTTTGTGTTGCAGGTGAAAAGCCATTCCAGTGTGAGTTTTGTGAACGACGCTTTGCCAACAGCAGCGACCGGAAGAAGCACTCACAGGTCCACACGGCCTCGAAACCCTACGACTGCAAGGCCCTGGGCTGCACCAAGTCCTACACCCACCCCAGCTCCCTGCGCAAACACATGAAGGTCCACGTCAAGTCGTCACCTACCTCTGAACCCCAGGACGCGTACGACTCCATCGCTCATCAACTTCAACAACCTCATCAGGCTCTCCTCGAGCCTCTCGACCTTAAAATTAACCGCCTCTCTCCGTCACTTGCCAACAGAAATGCTCATTTTCCTCTTCTGTCCAATCATGAATTGGATATCAGCTCAGCCAGCGAAGTGGACCATAAGCTGCTGCTGCAGAGTTCATCCCCAATGGCAATGCCTCTGGATCTCTCTCTGTCGGGCCTGAAGAATCAGCTGGCCCAGAAGCAGCAGAGTGGCAGGACTCCACGGAGGAGCCAGCGCTCAGTCAACCCAGCCTTACCTCAGTTGTCTAACATTAAGGAGTGGTATGTCTGTACCAGGACTACGGCGCCACATTTTCCTCTACTTCACCCAGACCACATCAAATCAGAACCTAGTGATGACGAGGAGTATGTCACGTAGGATGGAGGGACTGGTAGACAGACCTCACATATTGTCAGACCCAGGTCATGCCAGAGGTCATGCTCTGTGGAATCATAGTTGCTGTAATTTCCCAGAACCAGCAGGCGTATGGTTCAACATCAGTGGCCCTTTTAAAGATGGAGAGGGCTGTGGGGAGATTGGAGGCTTTTTTATTCCCCGTCTCGAATACTAATCTCAGCTCGGAGATTGTCACCATCTGCAGACCAAAAGCAATGGCTCAGACGTTGCCAGTAGGGACAGGAGGACATCCATCATTATGGTTATCAAACAAAATGTTTGACCAAAAACTGCAAGTTATCTAATCGGTGTTAGTTAGCTAACCTGAACTAACACAGGGGATAACATTGTACAAATGGACCAGGGAATGTTGGTGACTGCTCTGCTTGCTGTTACAGGATATGAAGAGGGTGTGTGTACATGGTGACCTCTCTAGGGAGACAGATTATTGACCAGTTTATTGAAGAGCTCCACCTAGATGAAGACATTTCAAGGGCTAAATTGACACATATGGAAAGGGGTTCACGTTAACCTCGGCAGCACTGTACACATAGCAACGCAGCACAGGTCTAAAACAGCAGGCATAGAGGGTGAAGGTGAGTGTGTGCCTGTGGAGGCCTCAGTAGGCTTCAAACTCACTAGTTCGTACAAGGTCAGAAAAATACAAATGTTGTTGGAGGCAGCTGATTTTGCTCAGATACTGTAGGGCAATCCGACAAGCACTTTGTTTGAAGCACGCTGAGGCCTTTACTAACAAACTATAGGTAGGAACTTGTTCAAAAGTGTTTTATGTGATCTAATCCAGCACAGCAGCCAACAGTGAAGCCGCAGTTTGAAGACAGAGGGACTGATTCTTCTTTGTACTGATCATCAAGTGTCTCCTTAACCTCCTCAACTCTATGGACCTTTAAGTGGGTTAATCACCTGCATCTGTTTACACTCCCATTTACATTTTAGTCAATACCCCAAGGTTTCCAAAATGACCATGTACTGTAAGTCATACCTATATTCCTTTAACATGAAAATGTGTATTAAATGATGCACAAGACATCGAGTACTTTCCCTTTGATGAAATGGTGCAGCCATAAAAAGTGTCGTCATGGAATTGAGTTTTGAATTTTGAATGTATTGTGTAAGATTGTGGTACAGCTTGTCATTAATGTTTAATCTATGTTTGGAGTTACTGCATTGAGAACACTTCAGTGTACATTATCCATCCACTAGAAGGTCACGTAAGAAAACATACCTGAAGCAGATAGCTTGAACCAACAGTGACAGGATTTATATGTTATTTTAAAGGACAATTACAGTTTGTTACCACCCAGGTCTACAACCAGGGTAAAAGTGAAAGTGAGCACTCCTGAAATGTCTCTAATAATCCATCACTGTGTAGGAAAACTGAGTGCAACTGGGTTGGGGGAAAGAAATAGATTGGGGAATAATTTTACCTTTCATCTTTGTTTTCTCTTCCAATACATTTTAGTTACCATGTTCCCAGGCTTGTTACTAGGAATGATTGACAAAACAGCCAAAACAACCCCCAAGTTGAACAGAACACAAATTTGCATGTACTTCTATTAGAGCAGAACACGTTTTGAGAGCAAGGACAGAATTGTGTCAGTGGAGTTTTGATTTTCAAGAGCAGTCATCTCCAGATATGAATAAGCAACTGTTAATGAAGTTTGTAGCATTTGCATGGCAGTGGAACAGTGGCGCTGTCACCTCACAGCAAGAAGGTCTGGGGTTTGAATCCTGCAGCTGGGATCTGTGTGGAGTTCTCTCAGGTCTGTGTGGGTTTTCTCCTTCTCCCACGGTCCAAAACATGCAGGTCTGATCAGAAACTGATTTACCTGAGGTGTAAATGTGTGTGAATGGTGGCCCCGTACTAGACTGGCAACTTGTCCACATGTACCATGCCTCTCACTAGAGGTGTGAATCCTCACTGGCCTCATGATTCAATTACCTGTCATTGATTTGAATGAACAACAATTCATGATGCATCTCGATGTGTAGCATCCTCAATTTTATATATATTACTAGTTTTACATCATTTAATACAAGCAGTCAGATAAATTTTGCTTTCAAAAATCAGACTACAACAGTCTATAACATCAAAAGCTGCATCTTTCCAACACCAGTATCTGTGTGACCCGCCTCAGTAGCTAAACCTTTCAGAGCTGGACAGCAGAGTTGAAAGAGTCTCCTCAGTTCTTGGCTAATGAGCTGGGCTCGCTGTATTCTTTATGACTGCAGACTGCAGCTCATGTTCCTCAAATTCTCTGTATTCCCAAAGCGTTTCATTTTTGTGAGGCAGATTTTACACACAGCACATGTCTTGTCCAGTTCTTGCTTCCCAGTAAGTTCATAAAATCCAAAATGTCCACTTTCAAAATATTGGTTGGCTTTTTTATCACTCGCTGTAGATCTCTGCCTCCCTTCCCCAAATCGCCCAACTTATAAAAGTAACGTTAGCCTAACTTTCACCCACAGTTCAATGCAAGATAGCGACGTTGCAATGTCGTGCTGTAACTTCACAACTTTATTGTCCAGCTGAGCCTGGAAAATCAACAATCAACATTAGTAGGCTATAATTTTGTGTAGGCTGCTAACCCATGATTATGTTCTGTCACTGCTTCCATGCAGAATCTACCGCGTCCGCATCGCAGTGCATCTTAGAATCGTACCTACCTCTCACACAATGTGAGTTGGGATAGGCTCCATCTTTCTGTTACCCTGCACAGGATAAGCTGGTATAGATAATGGATTGATGGATATTCCTGGCATGTAACCACAAACTGAGAGGAGGATAAAATCTGTTGCATTTGACTTGGGAGTGGATTGTCATTATGTTAGGCTCCATTGGCTTTCATGTCAGAAACACTGTTAAAAGTATAGGCCTAACTATCATGTGGGGGAAACTGAAGCATGTTGAAGGCACATGATCAACACAGATCTTAAACTCGGGCTGCAAGAAATCAGGTTGTTGCTGTCTGCTACCTTAAATCTTGACCTACAGATTCATTCAATTTGTTTTTTAAACAATAGTTTGACTTGATAGAGCATACATATCAGAGTTTATGATCACTGAACAGCACATCGTTGTGTTCCTTTTAGGAAGTGTTTTATTGAGAAAGGCTGTCTCATGCAGTATCACATCATTGAAGGATTCTAATCACCCATACGTTCACTGATCCATTCATTCTGTCTATAAAAAATGTTTATGGATTCAGGGCAACTGTCATGATCTCCAGTGATGACCTGTATCCCCACCCCAACCCTCTGATTTAGCAACACTAAGTTGCGTTCATCATGTGTGAGTAAATGAGTGACTAAGAAATGAAATTAAAAGAAATTATTAGACTGACCGAAGTTACAAGCTTTGCTATTGAATAATGACAATGTTTTTGTGATGATTAGACAAATGACAAGGGTTTTAGTTTTCAGTATTGTATCTTGATTTTTCTAAATGGCTCTATGGAAACGGTTGAGAAAAACACAGCCTCCAGCTGTCCGTATCGTGACAATTAACAAGGCTCATCTGGCTTAAAAAGAACAAAGCTAAAGTTAGGAGTTACTGTAAGTGTGGGGTCAAGAGATTTTACAGAAATCTGACCACAGAGCAGCTGAAACAATTCATATCCAGCGTGCCTGAGGACTACTACTGCACCACCTGAGCATGGAAGCTCATTCATGACCTTGGCTGAAATATTAATTTGACAAAAAAATTAAAAGCCCACTTACAACATGCTACATTTTGCTGATTGGTTCTCTAGACTCGTGTTTCTAACCACATATTTCAAGCCAACGATATGAATTCACATCAAGTTAGGGATGAATGCCTGCTCTTGTCTGCTTCCCAATAAACTGTAAAGTTAGCATAGACTGATACCCATCCTTAAGGAAACAGCTTCTGGAGTCCGGCAGTGTGTAATACACATACTACTTAAGACATTTACAAAGTGCATCATTCATTTTATGAACTAATAATGGAAAGGATTCAGTCATTAATTAAATTATTATTTTTAAATGTATTAAATTAAAAGACAGAGTCACAAACAAACTGAACCAGTAGTATTAAATTTAATTATTATAATTATTAAAAATAGTTTGTGGCCCACATTACTGGTTGGAGGCACTAACTCAATTAGTAAAATTAAATTTTTCATCCACTCCAAGCAATACAAAATATCTTTAATACAATTCTAGTTGAATTGTTTTTCTCATGCACAAGAAAATGTTAATTTGTTAAATAAATCATTTAATAACATTAACTTTCAACTTTTAAGAAAAGTTTTTTTTTTTAACTTTTGTTAAACACACATATGCACATATATAGCAGGCAACATCCACTGTATACATCAGCTTCATAATCATTCTTTCCATGTCTGGGACTGTAGCGAGGATTTTAGAAATAATGCAGGGTTTATGTGATTACACTAGTAGTATTACGGGTATGCTATTTTATTTTTGCCAATTTAAAAAAAAAAAAGTGTTACAATTCAACTCAGTTTTATTTACATAGTGCTATTTCAGAAGTTACGTCACTGCACTTTTCATAGAGCAGGTTTAGACCACAGACTGCATATAAAAAGGTTTCGACAGAGACCCAATAATTCCCACTATGAGTTATGAAGGCTACATGGAAGCAAAGAACAAAGCAGCCAGGTCCAGGTATTCAATTTTTCAATTATTTTATTCAATCTGTAAAACAAAAAGACTAGGTGGAAACATTTTCTCATCCTCAGCAGGGGGGGCTCCATGGCAAACATGAGCAGAGAGGGGGCTCCCATTCATCCCACTCACTGTAAAATGTGTAGTTCTTACATGAGTTAGTTTTAAAATGCTAACTGTCCCAAGATTTGACGTGTGGAAAAAATCATATCAGTTGTAACATAAATCTGACACAATGAAAGTCTTAAAACTAGCTCTCACCCACTTCAAGACAACGATAATAGCTGGAATGATCCAGACAGGTAAGTTACTCACCAATGCGGTCAACATCACCCTCATTCAGAAAGTGCCTCCTGCTGTCACAGTGACTGGTTCAGAGGCTGCCGGGAAGAGAGGTTCATCAGCCTCAATGATTCACCTACTAGAAAGTCATGTATCTTGGAGATTTTCCCTTCCCCAAACAGTCTATCACCATTACTGTTTCTATTATTGACAGGGGGGAATAGATAGTGACTGATTTTGTTCTGATAAAGTGTCTTGATAGTAAATATTTGAAGAAATGACTACAAAGTATGATATATTTGTCAACTATTTCTTCAAATGACATTAAATGTTTACTGTCACGATTGTACATCTCTCAAATGTTTTTAATCCTTTTTCAGTGCAAACCCCCCCATCAGACCTTCCCCATATATGACTAAAGAGTGAGAGAGCTGCAGTTACCCCAAGGTAATTTCTGACTTGATGCCAAACAGCAATCGTATTTCTAACCATAGGGGTTTTTTTTAGTCTTTTGAAGTTTTTTAACATTAGCCAAAAACAAGTAAATGAGAAAGGGTAAACTCAGTATGTGTCCTTCCATCTCCCTCCATAAGAGGGCTTCCTCCTCTGTAAAATAGAACAACAGCATTCTCATATGTGCTGCCCAATAATACCAAAGGGGATTGGGGACCTAAGACCCCCTCTGTCATAGGGTAAGTACAAAAGTGTACCTGGGGCGTCTGTTGTTCCACAAAAACCTGATGAAAAGTTTCTCAAGTGAGAGAATAGGTTACTGGGTGGGGGAAATGATAAGAACAAATACAGCAATTTGGTAATAATTTGGCTCATTTTAAGAACATTTATTTTCCCAATTAATTATTAATTCACTCTAACTTCTTATATTGTGACAGTAAACCTACCTACCTAATGACATTGGTATAGATATCCATCTATCTATTTGAATTTGAGATTTCCTGCATCACTGGTCTGTAATTGGTTTCTACAATATTCTCAAGACATGGCACAATTATTTTAAGACACAAGTATTTTATAAAATCAACATTTTTGAATTAAGTTATTTCTTCAGCTGTATTTTGCCTGTCTGCATGTCTTAAGAACATAATTGAGGTTTTGGATGCATTCATCTAACAGCCTAAAATCGTTCTAAAAGTCTCAATTTGCTCCAACAAAGCTGTGTTTAAGAAAGATTATAACGTCATCCGCATATAAAGCCAGACGGTGTTCCTGCTGTCCAATGGTTATTCCAGAGATCCTGTTGTGGGTTCTCACTGCAGTTGCTAGTGGTTCGATTGCCCTTGGCTACACCCTCACTTTATCAAGATAGTTTTTGAGAAGGTACCATTAGTCAGTATTTCTGCCTATGGTTCTGTATAGAGCAGTTTTATCCAATTACAAAAATTCTCAAGGCCAAAACGCTTAAGAACTTCAAACAGGTAGGGCCATTCGACTCTTTTGAAAGCTTCTTCAGCATCCACTGACAGTAAAGCAGCCCCTTTTGATAACAGAATATATTTAAAACCCTTTTAACATTATCTTCGAATTATTCCTTCTAGTCATGCTAAAATCACAATCACAATTACGCAGCACCTTTAGATCTGTTTTTAGAAGACTTGTTGGCATCAGATTTTCACATTTATTGTTTGGTTTACCCACTTTCGGAAGCAGAGTAATCAAGGCTCCTCTTAAGGAGGAAGGTAGTACTCCATTGTGAAATGATTCTTTAAACATTTCTAAATGTCTAAACCTATTTTTAAACTCTATACATTTCAATGGGTAGACCACCAGGCCCTGGTGTTTTCCCCATCTTTAAACTATCAATTGCTGTAGATATTGCTTCCCAACTTTTCTCTTTATCTAAATATACCTTAAGCCCTTCTGGTACCACAGGTAAATTCATTCCATTCAAAAAAAATTTTAATTCTAATTTGTTACTTCCGAACTACAAAGTTCCTCATAAACTTTTCTGAAAGCATCATTTATTTGGAGTAGATCTAAAATGGTCTCTCCTTGCTGTTCCATACTGAAGTAATCAGCCTTCCTACTGCTTTATGCACCACGCCAACACCTTACCTTAATAAAACATTGCTAAATGCTCCAGAGTTAATCAAGACTATTTTTCATCTGAAGTCCCTGGACATGTGTCCCATAGTTAACCATAAAAATGTACATTTATATTTAATCAGGTTTTTCCAACTCAACAAGTTATATTTTGCTAATATTGGGCAATGATGAAACCATATCAATCACTTGTCAAGAACTTTTAAGTGTTTGTTCACAGAGACTGTAATGGTTTTAGTGTAGTGGCACAAGCCTGTGACAAGGTTGTTAAACAATTAGTGATGTGTGAAATTACCAGAGTAGGCCTACATCTAGCTGCCTCTGTTGACATGTAATCTCTAATTAACCTAAAACAGAAAGATTGAATTTGACCCTGACAGACCCTTTTCACTTGATGTTTGAAGGAGAAAGTGAAGTCAGTCAGAATTCCAAGACGGGCTCCTTGTCCTCAGATGCGACCTGTAGCCAAAGACATCTGGCTCTATATTAAACCAAGAGCTAACACTGAAGTTAACACTGCCTCGGTGCGGACTCTAAACATGATGAATGAAGATTTTTAATAAAGTTGAGAAGAGAAAAAAAGTGAATGGCGTTGACGCCTCTCTCTCCGCCAATCTGCTCTCCGTAAATCTATAACGTCATCACGTCAGCGGCGTGGTTGACCGTCACAGTTCAGCAACATGGCGGCGCACAGGCTCTCTCCATCACTGAACAGGCTGCTGTTTGCCGTAAAGGTGAGTTGTTCACAGAGTGACTGCGCAGCCTGAGCTCTCTGAACTAACCTAACGTCGTGTGTTTACCAGCAGCACGCGAATGACGTGACAGTGTGAGCACAGTCCCTTACCAGCTAATGACAAGTCAGTTAGGACAGTCCTCAACGTTCTTGACGCAACTGGCATAAAGAAAACACACACATGGACTTTCCGTAGATTAAATGATAGGAGATAGTAACCACATTGTTAAAATTGTGAAAAAGAAAACGCAACAGTTCCAAACGGGTGTATATGTTCTCTTCTTTATTTGTTTTAACGGCCAAAAGGTCAATAGGCGACAGCATTTTAAATGTAAGGCGTCAATTTAATTTTCCAAACAACCTGAAACTTATTTTCTTCAGACTTCTGAGTCTGTCTTCAGTTGACTCTGGACCAGCAGGACGTTTTCCCAGCTGATAAACACTGTAAACTTAATGCTGTTTAATTCTAACACAGCCTGCAGAGGGAGGCGTGAAACATGTCCTGCCACTTTTGTAAGGATTGGACAAACCATTTATGATTTCTAATCTGATTTGTAATATGCCTCGTCCACATTTTTGCATTTGTAGTACCTCCAGGTAGGGGAGATCGGGGTATGTTGTCACACTTTTCACACGGTCTAACATTTACTGGGCCCCATCCATCACAATTATATAAATGTCATTACAAAAGAAAACAGGAACTCTTGGTCACAGATTTTGTTTTCATTCCATCTTCGTAGCTTATCTCATTATGGATTTGTAGACTGTTGAAAGTGTGACAGTTTGCCCCATCGGCATGTAAGTTGCATCAGGTAAGAGATCTCACTAGATTGACCGAGACAAGACCAAGACTTTTAGGTGCTGAGACCAAGACTGAGGGATGGCGAGACCAAGTTAAGACCAAGACCAGTTCCACGCATTACATGACACACAATAAAATGTGGAACAAGATCACAGGTACTTTTCAAATTGATCTGAAAGATCCACATTCCCATTAAAACACCCACACGCAAACAGTAAGAGCTGAATTTAACATAAGCATCTTTATTTAACACTCTTTTTCCATGCTGACCATCGTGGGACAGGCGTTAATGGTAACAACACATTTTTAATTAAGGTTATTGGTTGCATTTAAAGCAAAATGTTTTACATCCAATCAAAGTTAGGATGTTAACAAATAAATCAGACAATGCAAAAGCAATTTATTGATATTCACAAAGATATAGTCTTAGCTGGTCTTGAAACAAAATCCAGAATTCTCCAAGACGAGATCAAGATTAGTCTCGAGTACTACAACACTAGTTGGAGCTGATGTGAGCAGTGGGTGGGAATGACAGCATAATTATGCAGATTTCTTTGGCATAATTCAGTCCATCAATGGGCAAATAAGGCTTGTTGTTGTAAACAGGGCTTCTCATTTGAGCACTTTGTATGTTCATTGAAATGATTCAGGAGATCAGCAAAGTGTAAATCTTTCATCCATCCAAGAGGATTTCGCCCTCTGCTGCCAGGTGGCCCCTTGATCAGGGACTAATTGCAGAATTGAAGTTGTCACGGGGAACATAAGTTTCCCTCTTAGGAACGAGCTTCAGCTCGCGTCTTCTTCTGACCTCACTCGGCAACAGACCAAAACTGTCACAAGTTCAATAAGCTGCTTCTAAAAATCGGGTGAAAAATCTTCTGTGGCAAACCGTTGTTGTTGGCGTGGCTGTCTGACTTCTTCTCTGGTTATCTTTTTCAATACCGAGTCAGGGTGCAGTAATACGGTTGTACGGTTATGTCCAATTCTTTGCTGTCCTGATTGATTTGTTCTGCAACTTCACCTACTGGGTTGCCTCTAACATAAGTCAGGTGGTGTGCTCCCTTCCTTTAAAAACACATTTCCTCATTGCAATTACAAACAGGCTTATTACACCGTCTTTTATCCTTTTTGCCACAATGCAATTCATAACACCACACTAAATTAATGACGATGTGTATGAAGTAGTGCGTGCGTGTGTCTGCTAACACACTACGTGCCTACTTTATGAGACAGTATCTCCCGCACACACACACACACTACTTCATACAGTGTCATGAATTCAGTCTTGTGTAGTCCAGGAATGTGCCTGCTGCTGGAAACTACACTGTAGCTATAAAAAACATTTACAGTTTAATTTAATATTATTTTCAGAGCTAATTTTACAACATCCCGATGTCTTTGTGTGTGTTTTTACTGTTACATCTGTTGTGACATGTGACAACTTGCCCAAAACTGACATGTGTGCTAATGTTGGCTAAATCTCATCGTCTCCTCTACTTTGTGCAAAATTATAATTTTGAATATTCAAACCTAACAGTTGTATTGTATAAAATGAAAAGTGTAAATTATTTACTTTACAAGCAAAAAAAAGAAAATGTGCTCACCTGAGTGTAGAGTGACCAAGACCACATGTGAACAGGAAGTTGACCATAGAACACAAACTCACACAAGGTGGTTATTAGAGATAGAGCTTCTAATGTAGGAGTTAAGAACAGCATGACAACTTAGCCCGCTCTCCCCCACTTATGTGGACATATCCTGGGCATTTTGTGATGATATGCTCCTTTAAGAGGTTCGTTGGTCAAGATCTTGAAAACTAAATGTAGTTGGGTGGACTTAAATTGTCCAAGAGTCTTTTTTTGTAGAGTACATTGAGCTGAACATCTGGCCGATTGGGCTCGTATTTCTGTGGAAGCATGTGCACATTATTTCCAAATGTTGGCCCAAGTTTTGCATTTGTAGCTCATTCCTGCTCACGGCTCCCGGTTCCACTGCTTTGCAGTCTGAACACTAATAATGAATGAAATGAAATGATATGGTAGCCTGATATTGTGAATCTGTATGTGTTTTGCAGTATGGCTCATTCCAGTCCAGATGCTGTGCAGCACACAGCAACGCTCAGTATTCCACTGTGTACAATCCCAGTGAAGAGGTAATGCACAGCTCTCTTCTCATTCTCCTTCTTCCTGTTTGACTGAACCCTTTATTGTATTCAACTATTAGCTGTTGACACTAAACAAAAATGTCAGTTTAATAATTGTGAGGCAAGATGTGATTTATGAAACTGAAAAGAATGGGTGTGATTTCTGAAACAAAATGGCTTGCTCAGGAGTAAAGTGAGAAGTGGAAGAAGTAGGGTTTGTGTTGCTAGTCTTTTACTGACACAAAAAAGATGGAGTAATGTGAGTCACAGAGTACGGTCTAGACCTGCTCTTTTATGAAAAGCGCTGTGAGATAACTGTTGTTGTGATTTGGCGCTATATAAATAAAATTGAAATTGAAAATTGAGTCCTAGTCGTGGCAATGATGCTCATCTGTCTGCCGTTTCCTTCCACAGACCTTTGATAAGATCCTCATCGCCAACAGAGGAGAGATTGCTTGCAGGGTAAGATAAGCAAAGGCATACACTCACTGGAGCCCCAGATGGAGGAACTTGTAAAGAAAACCCTGTAAGGCAGACGTTTGAACACTTCTGCAAAGTTATCATCAGGGCCACAGACTTTGCCTTGCTGCTTTTTTCCCCCAGTTTTGTATTGCATATCCATGTTAGCACAGATAGCAGCACAGATCAACATAATTTATAGCATTGTATTGACAGAGACTGTAAAGTGAAGCATCAGTGTTAATGCAGTGTGTTTTTCCCCTCAGGTGATCAAGACATGTCAGAAGATGGGCATCCGGACTGTAGCTGTTCACAGTGATGTAGACTCCAGTGCTGTGAGTCACTCTGTGTTTTTCCAGTGTTAAAAAGTAGGGTTGTATACAAAAATGAAAAAGCTACGTCCGGTCAAACTTTGTAAACCAGGAGGAGCATTTCCCACACCTCCGTCAGACACACTTATTACCGTGAGTTCAAGCAGCATATAGGCTGTCCTGCAGAACGTCCATGGGTGTCAGATGTCAAGTAAAAACATATTTAAAGAGGTGGTATTATGCTCATTTTCAGGTTCAAAATCCTATTTAGAGGTTGTACCAGAACATACGGTCAACAGCTTCGGTTCAGCTGTAGGCTACATGTTGCCAACCAGCTTAGCAACATAGACTGGAGCAAGAGTTTCAGAGTGGTGAGTTATTAATCTGTAACAAAAGTATCTTTCATCCATAAAGTTTTAACTGAGCTCTGTCTCTACATCACAGGAACAACTTTATGTCCACTGACTGCCTGGAGGGTAGCTAGTGTTTGGAAGGGAGAGGAGAGCTGTGTGCTGCAGCTCACTGTTTTCCCACCGGGTGTTTTTGAGGGCGTGTCGGAGTAGCTGTTTAGTGAGCATTATGACGCGTATTTACTTGTGACATCACAAGAAAGCAGAAGTAAAGACTACATACGAGCTGTTTTCAGGGAGTTTCTGTGGGAGATGGGAACTCCCTTTGGGCTAGACTTTGGGCTTTTTTCATTGGGCGGCTGTGGCTAAGGAGGTCGGAAGGTCGGCGGTTCAATCCCTGGCTCCCCCTGGTTGCGTGTCGAAGTGTCCTTGGGCAAGATACTGAACCCCGATTTGCCCCTGGCGGCAATGTGAGTGAATGTTAGTTTCCGTTTGAGTATGAATGTGTATGACTGGTGAATGCAGATGTAGTGTCAAAGCGCTTTGAGTGGTCGAAAAGACTAGAAAGGCGCTATACAAATACGGAGCATTTACATTTTTCACTTTGCAAACCTACATGCACAAAAAAGATATATAACTCGATAAAGGAGAAGGAAAAAGCCAAAAAGCATAATACCACCTCTTTAATAGAGGCATAATACCTGTATGGCAACAATGCATTTATTGTGAGCTGTCCACTTTTACATATTGTTATAGTATTTTAATATCCTACTGTTCCAATACACTTATTTTGAGTATTTCACATCTATTCAGATGATTACATAATAATATTTTCTTATTGATTTGTTTAAATTTTATTCATCCACCACATGATTACACACTGGCAAAATGTGATTAAAAAACACAGAATTTGGGAAAAGATAAAACAGAAAAAAAAATTAAAACTGATTTCATAGGGCCCTAGGAATTGAGATTGCTGTATTTCTATCGAAATCCTTGTCAAAATCGAAAAGACCAGTAGAACTCCAGTAGTTTTAGGTGTTTGTGTACTGAACACTATAAAAACAGCTTCTCTAAACCTACCACACTGTTGTAGCTTAAATCCAACTTTAAAATGCTGATGTTCAGTAACATAACTGCATCAGCCTTTCAGCTGCTTCTTCTGGGCACTGTGAAGAAAGTGGAGCGCAAAATCAGGTGGAGTGAAGAAGATCAACCATTTTAACTGAATGTCCAAGAAAAATTCTCCAAACCACTGAAACATGCCAAAATGGCTGCATGCGACAGATTTTCCTGCATGCAGTAGTAACCTCAGGCAGATGGATTTGCTGTTCTGTGTCTTCTTTTCTGCTGGATATTGTTTGACCTCTAGTGACTTGATGTCATATCAAAGACATCTGTATAATACAAGTTTTTAGAATTTCTTGTTTTGGTGTTTCCAGGACACACAGGCAGACAGCTGGTGTAAGTTCTAACAAATGTTCAAAGTGTGTCTTCATCAGTGTGTGCCAGTCTGTATCTAACTTTCTACTGCTGAGGTGACATCTGGATTTAATTTCCCTGTGTATGTGTGTTTTCAGGTTCATGTAAAGATGGCTGATGAGGCAGTGTGTGTTGGCCCCGCCCCCACCAGTAAGAGTTACTTGAACATGGACGCCATCATGGATGCCATCAGAGTGACTGGAGCACAAGCTGTAAGCATGCGACTGTTAGATGACATGCTGTGCACTTACACAAGCTCATCAAGACAAAACAAAGCTCCTCTAAACAGTGAATCATCCATGGTTATATAATCTCAAAGCTATAGCTGTGTGTTTGAAACACTTTGAAACCAATCCAATGAAGTTTTAATGATTTTTCTCTGTAAAGGTTCATCCCGGTTATGGGTTTCTCTCTGAAAACAAAGAGTTTGCAAAGCGACTGGTGAGTGATACACAGAATCAAGTACACACTTATTTTATCTTGACACACTTTACTACTATGAGTTCAAAATGAATTAATGACAAACAAATGCTAAAGTAAGAATTGATTTTTTTCTGTTAAGAAATTATGAATTTATTTTAGTCTCATTAACATTAGTAATTTGTTTTAATGAATGATCAGCAAATGTTTTAAAGAGGTGGTATTATGCTTGCTGGCTTTTTCCCTCTCCTTTATTGAGTTATATATCTTTTTTGTGCATATAGGTTTGCAAAGTGAAAAAGCTCAAAGGGAGTTCCCATCTCCCACAGAAAGCTCTGCTCTGAACTGCCTGAAAGCAGCTCGTTTGTAGTCCAGCCTTTACTTCCGCTTTCTTGTGACGTCACAAGAAAACGCGCATCATAATTAGGGTTGGGGTGATTCATTGACGTAATCGATTATGTAAATACGTCGGCGTCGACGCGTCGCTGCATCCGGTGTGGGATTATCCTGGACAAGCTCCAGCTACAAGACTGCGCCTTCGACTGTCTAAAGTTTGGAGTATTTCAGACAGACGCTCAACAACGTGCTGCTCCGTGTCCTCTCTGAACTGGAAACTGCAGCACAACTGCTGTCCACGAATATGTGAAGCAGCACGAACACGTGAAACGAAAGTATCCTGGAGCACTTTGTCTAGACGGCAGCACCGCAAATCATGTTTACTTTCTGTCGCCACACAAGCAGGGCACATTATCAGCATGAGGACACATAGTATTTCTTCATTGCCTTCATGTTAAAAGTAATTTTTGCCCTGCTGCTGTCATGGTAACGTAACGTTACACCGCGAGTCATGTAACGATCGGCTGTTTCATATTTTCTGTTTATTTAATGGCCACGTATGAGCAAGAAAACAGCTGAAACTAACAGTACAGACGATTTGTGACTGTCTGTACAGTCTGTGAGTCTTTTCAGGTGTTCATTGATGCAGAAATACATCTTATCATACTGCATTACTTAATATTGAAATCAATCCATGTCAGAAAAGTTAAGTAACCTAATTAATGTCTGTTTATTGTTATTATCACAACACAGCAGTGACGTGGAAATTTGATTCATTTTAAAATTAGCTGCTATTGTCATTATTCTAATGTGCTTCATCAGGATGATTGAATAAAATATAGATTTATTGATTAGACATGTTTTTGATATTTGTTTTGGATAAATTAGTATGTTAATAGAGTAATAGGCAACTTTTCTTTCTTTAGAATAAACAAAATTAGTCGTTAGATTAATCGACTTGAAAAATAATCGATATAATAATCGCTCTAATCATAATGCTCACCTAGCGGCTAGTCTGGCAGCACACAGTGACGAGACGTTCCGCCTGCTGCGTCTCCTCTCCCTTCCAAACACTAGCTACCCTCCAGGCAGTCAGTGGAATAAAGTTGTTCCTGTGATGTAGAGACAGAGCTCAGTTAAAACTTTATGGATGAAAGATACTTTTGTTACAGATTAATAACTCACCACTCTGAAACTCTTGCTCCAGTCTATGTTGCCAAGCTGGTCGGCAACATGTAGCCTACAGCTGAACCAAAGCCCGCCCTGTTCTGCTTCTGATTGGCTAGTAGGCCTTCACTAAGAATGTGCATGTGCAACTCCCAACAAAGATCATTTAGAGGCAAGATGCATCACTCCTTAGCTAAAACAAAGCGCTCAACACAGGGTGAAAAGAGGAGCTGCAGCAATGTGCAGTCTGACACAAATATGGTGTTTTTTGTAAATCAAACCATGTAAACCTGTTCTGGTACAACCCCTAAATAAGATTTTGAAACTGAAAATGAGCATAAAACCACCTCTTTAATGAAAGTATGAAAGTACAGAAATACATTTATGACATTTTTTTTAGGTTTTTGGGTTTTCTTGGACATGTGAAGGTTTGCCTTACTGTGCAGAGTGAACCGGCTGGCATTATATAATTGTGACAATGCTCACACATACTGGTGTGAAACACAATCCATGCTGACTCTGTTATCCACCATGTAGCGTAACAAGTGTTCTGTGGTTTGAATGCACTTAAAATTGACTGAAGTAAGTTGTGCTAACTGTGGCTAATAATGGGCTTTTCACTAGCATCTGTTTATTTTCACAAAGATATGAGCAATTGAGTAGAGGCTTATTCTTGACCTTGGGATAAGAGTGTGTGATAACACAATCGCAACTCAAGGTGCCCCCAAGATGCAGTTACAACCTGATTTTGTCACACATAAGAGAAATCTTGTTAGGATTCATGAAAAACAGTTCCAAAAGTAGTTAAAAAACCATGGACAATCACCACCAGTATTATTTTTATTATCTTTTTAGGAAGGTGGGTGATAGAAATACTAAATACAAACACACAGTGTGTTGTGAGCCAGTGGGGTGTGAGCTCTTTGTTCTGACTATAGTATTATTAAAAGTCTGACATGGTATATCTTATGGTGTTATTTTGTTGCTAGGCAGCAGAGGGCTTGACTTTCATTGGCCCCGACACCGACGCTATCCAGGCAATGGGAGATAAAATTGAGAGCAAGCTGATCGCTAAGGCTGCTAAGGTCAACACTATCCCAGGATTTGATGGAGTCGTCAAGGTACAGGCACACATACACAGCAATGCATATATGTGACAAGAACACATGCACCAGATGAATGCATTTTCGAGGGTGACTGTTGCATGAAGGGAGCACAATGACAGTTTAGTCAAGACCTATAACTGCCTCATATTTGAAACCATCAAGACAAGTCCTACTTGACAGTATGGTGACAAGCCAGTTTAAAGCATGGAGACAGGTACTGCACTGTTGCACAGTCGTACAGTTATGCTGTGGTTCATCATCAGTAACCATAAACTCCTCTCTGTGTCAGAGTGCGGAGGAGGCTGTAAAGATCGCACAGGACATTGGTAAGTCATCACTTCTCACAGTGAAAGTGTACAGTATGTGTGACGGAGCTGAATCCCACTCAGTTCTTATACTGCAGAAATGATGCCCCTATCTATCTGTTCCCACATCCCCTTCTGTCTCTCACCCAGAGGATGTGTTCATTATTATGAAGATTAATTATTGATTTATTATCTATTTGCTCTATTTACAGTTTCAGTCAGACGTTTACATGAACTTGTACGGGACAATAATGTCAAGACAGTTTGGGGATATGATGATTTCTACAGCTGGTGTATTTCTATGGGGAAAGACTTTTGCACAGTTTCTGTGTTTTCTAAAGGGTCAAAAATGTACATCCAGCACAGCTAAACTTTATTGTACTTTTCTAGCTCTTTTCACCTCAAGCAACCGCTTTTGGCAGCCATAGAGCTTCTGGCAGAATTCTGGTTGAAGTTGTTTTGGCAGTAGTCTACCCAAATGTGTTGATTTTCTTGCTTGAATTTGTCTTTTCAAGGAAGTCCGCGTATTTTCCATTGCAGAAGCTTAGTTTTAGCTTGATTTAGATTCCACCAAAATTGGGTTCATTGTCCAGTTGTATCTATGATTTATCTAGATGGCCAGATGAATTCTTCATTTCTCCATCCACTTTATGCAAAGCACCAGCTCCACTAGCAGCAACACAGCATGATACTTCCTCCACCATGTTTGATATTAGGCCACCATAGGCCTACACAAACATCATTAACATTATATTATTATACCAACTCCATCAAATACCATGCAAATATAAACCCATATTAATGCTAATGACAAATGCTATCAAAAATATCATTGAACATCTGAATCCTGCCTCCACAAACTAAGAGTGCAGAGTCCACATCTCTGTATACCGTCATTCTCTTTAGAGTAGTGTCTGGTTACACCTTCATGAGCTGCAAGAAAGAATTCTCTGAGCACACCCTCACGCTCTCTCACTGTCAGCAAAGCTTCTTTGGCCTTTTCCTTGAGTGACATCGCCTCCCACTTTGGTTGTCTTTTTGCCTGGTCCTTCATCTTCAGCTTTTACTCGTCAGCTTGCCACAGCCAGTGAAGTTTAGACAAGCGTTTGAAATAATTAATGTAAAAATCATGTTGATTTGGAAAGCTGTAGGAGGTTCATGTAGCGGACCCCTGTGTGTTTGTGTGTGTGTGTGTGTGTGTGTGTGTGTGTAAAACCTATTAGTTTTATTTTTAAGTACATATCACAGGGGGGGGGACAGTTTTAGAAATCATTACAATCCTCAAACTGCCATGGCATAAATGTCCCTTACATTTGACTGTCTCTTTAGATAACTGACTGGAGGTACTTGTGGCCTGATTTGTTAAAGCAAGGTGAAACTTCACTTTTACAAATGCATCTTTACAATTGTGCTGTTGCTTTATTGTTGCTAGGCTACCCAGTGATGATCAAAGCATCTGCAGGAGGAGGAGGGAAAGGAATGAGGATTGCTTGGAATGATGAGGAGACAAGGTATTATATTCCTCTTTCTGTCACATTTGTGATGTTTGTCATTCTACAGCATGTGGCAAGTTGTTGCCCTCCTTCACCCTATACACAGAATATACCATATTTACAAATATTTTAAATTAGAATAAAAGTAAAAACCATAGATACAGTTACTAGTAAGTGGAATAGTATTGTGCAACACCAGCATTAATTTAATTTATTTACGGTGGAGCTGCGGACTGAAGAAGCTGCTCTGCAGTCTGGTGCTGAGACAGCAGATGCTTCTGTATCTCTCTATATCCAGAAGGCAGCAGGGTGAACAGGCTGTGGCTGGGTGGGTACTGTCCTTTAGTATCCTTTGGGCTCTGCAGACACCTCATCTCACCGATATCACTGATGCTCTGGAGATGGGTATCAATGATCTTCTGAGCAGTTTGAATCACCTGCTGCAGAGCCTTCCTATCTGGTGCTGTGCACATCCAATGGCAGTTAGTGAGAATAACTTTTACAGAGGAGAAATAAAAAGCATCGTGACTGGAAACAAGAACTTGGCACAGATATTTTGCCTTCTGAAGTTTTAGGATCTTTAAGGAAATATAGCTGTTTCTGATCCTTCACCAGCGTGGAGATGTGAGACGATCATGTCAGGTTCTCTGTGATGCTGATTCCCAGGAACCTAAAACTGTTCACCTGCTCCACCTCAGCTCCACTGATTTAGAGAGGAAGTGTGTGTGTTTATCTCCTTCTTCCTAAAATCAATGATCAGCTCTTTGGTTTTGCTGACGTTAAGCAGTAGGTTGTTCTCTGTTCACCACTCTGAAAGATTGTTGATTTCCTCCCTTTATGGCATAAGTCTCATCGTTGTTTGAAATCAGGCCGATGATGGTGGCGTCGCCTGCAAACAGAGTTCTCTCCATGTTGCTGGTTGCAGTCGTGGGTGGACAGTATGAACAGGAGGGGCTGAGCACACAGCCCTGGGAGGCTCCCAGTGTTGAGCACTAGAGTGGAGGAGGTGTGACCGCCAATTGGAAACGATCTGCGGTCTGTTTGTGAGGAAGTCCAATATCCAGTTGCAGAGTGTAGTACTCAAGCCCAGAGGGGTCAGTTTATTGGCCGAGATTGTGTTGAATGCTGTGCTGATGTAGGTGTGTGAGGGCAGTGGAGGTCAGTCACTACTGCAAAACTGTGCATTGCAAAATAGTAGCACAATGACTGCTACCAAATACAATCACTACTCCTGCAGCATATTTTGGACTTAAAAAACTTGAAATGCTTCTGAAGGTTTACTCTGCTTAAGATACAGATACTACATAAACTAGTAAATCATCTCCTTCAAACCCCGGAACTGCTGCATCACCGTCTACTCCTGCTTCTGCTTTATTATTCAAGATCCTGTGTCTGTTTACTACCACTACTACTACTACTACTATAGATTACTGAAAACAACTTGTATTTGCTACCTTTTGTAGCTGATGCAACATCTGTTCTATTCTGTTACAGGGACGGTTTCCGGTTCTCATCCCAGGAGGCAGCATCCAGCTTTGGAGATGACAGGCTGCTTATTGAGAAATACATAGACAACCCCAGACACATAGAGATACAGGTATAGCACACGTCCACTCAGTGGTCTGATGTCATTTAATATTGTCACTGTGCACACACACACACACACACACACACACACACACACACACACACACAGAGTGTATATGTATATCTCACAACAATAACTGTTAAAAAAACAGCTACTTTGACTTGTGCTTCTTGTAGGTGCTGGCTGATAAACATGGTAATGCTCTGTGGCTGAATGAGAGGGAGTGCTCTATCCAGAGGAGGAACCAGAAGGTGGTGGAAGAAGCTCCCAGGTTAGCTAAAAACTTTGCTCTTGACAATGTTTGAATTGAAATCAACACGGGTAAATTTAACCAACTTGCTTTTTTCACAAGAAGGTCGAAACTTTGTACTGCTAATACAGCAACAACAAGCAACGGACAACTTTAATGAGGTTGAAACTCAGATTTCAGGCAAGGATGGATGGTAGATATGTTCGTAATCTCAAGGTTCAGTATGTGGACTGTAAAATAGTGCCAAGTAAAAAACTGTGGCCAGCAGCCGTCATGATCTTCAGCAGTGCAGTTACACCAGAGTTGCAGCCATACAGCACATTACTGCTTACATTTAATAACTTACTTTCCATACTTTCAGACTCACTTACTAACCGCTTAGCCAGCATCATAGACAGCTTTAAGTTTTTGAGTTGATGTAATCTGTACTCTTGATTCAGTAAGACTGCAATAAACTGTGAGAACAGTTTATTTATCTAATATTTTCTTTGGTTCATCTATTCAGTTTCATTGCTAATACGTTAGGAAACATAAACTCAACAGAATAAATCTGACCTCACCCTGTATCAGAGGTCACGGCATGTTAAAGTGCAGGGTCCAAAGGTAACATTTTTTGCCACTGATCCGATCTGGCAAGTTGGTCAAGAATCTACTGGCCTGAACAAACTCTGAATTCTTACATTTGTGACTTTTTAGTATGTATCTAATTCCACAGCTTGTTCAGTCCCAAGCTGTGGAATTTGTTTCTATTAGACTCTCCGTTTGCCCCACTGAGGTGATTCTGAGTGTCTAGTGCCGTGTCTTCTCCAGTACGTTCCTGGACCCAGTGACACGGCGGGCGATGGGTGAGCAGGCAGTGCAGCTGGCCAGGGCTGTACAGTACTCTTCTGCCGGCACCGTGGAGTTCCTGGTGGATTCTAAGAAGAACTTCTACTTCCTGGAGATGAACACAAGACTACAGGTCCGTGCAGGGCAGTGTGTATGTTTGGGGGGGGGGGCAAAGAATCAGCCAATTAAATAGGATGCATCACAACACAGAGGAAGCAGAGTTTAGAGTATTCATAATTAAACTACAGTCAGCCCTAGGTTAACAGGCTGCCCCAAGAGAAATATAATCTTAGTTTTTCCAGAGCTTTCAATTACATCTCACAGCCTTCATCAGTGCATAAAGTTTGACTAATCCATCATAGTTAAAGGTGGATTAGTCAAACTTTATGCACTGATGAAGGCTGTGACATGTAGTGTGTCTGTGACGATTGAGCAAACTCCACCTGTTGCTGAAATACCTGGAAAAGGCCAGTAATTGTTCCTTTCACTCTCAACAAGCACACTACATCTTCTCCGTTTGACCTTTGACCCCAGGTGGAACATCCAATCACGGAGTGTATTACCGGCCTGGACCTGGTGGAGCAGATGATCAGGGTTGCCAAGGGTTACAAACTGCAGCACAAACAGGAAGATATCCCAATAAACGGCTGGGCCATTGAGAGCCGCGTCTACGCTGAGGTGTGTGTGTGTGTGTGTGTGTGTGTGAGAGATGCTCATCATGAATGGGTGTTAAGGACTGTATAGAGTTTTCTCTCAGTATAACCAAAGAGCGAGCGGGAAACGGCAGAGAAAAAACAGCAGCAGCTGGAAGTACACTGACCACAGGAACTGCTGTAGATCCACTGACACACTGAACACAATGATCAAACCGAAGACAAAACATAAAAAGAATGAGCAAAGTCTGCCCACAATCAATCATATAAAGAGCATTCTTGAAAGACAGGCTAAAATAATAAACATATTTAATGGCCTGTAGTGTTCGACTGCAGTGTTGGTGGAAAGTCTAGATAAAATCAAAAACATAAGATTTCATGTACAAGATTGATGGTTATATCAATCTACTTTGATATAGATATGTTATATTGATGTAACATTCTGCTTAGTGCTAGTGAAGTGAAGCCTGAAGTGTTTGTGTTCTCTGTGTTGTCTGTTGTGTTAGGATCCTTACAAGTCTTTTGGCCTTCCTTCCATTGGTCGGCTGTCTCAATACCAAGAGCCAATCAACCTCAGCAATGTAAGTGTGTGCGCAAAATGATATAAGATTGATTATAAGATTGGTGTAACACACAACGACATCATCTGTCTACGTCAAATTAGAGCTACATCAGAGAATAACATTCGGTCCTCCTCAGATACTTTTGCTATTTTTTAAAATGATATTGTCCTCACACCCACTCCACCCGGTCTCCCTGAGAGACTGGCAAGTGTCCTGCCAATGTGAACATTCGCTCATCTGCTCCTCGCCCTGTCAGGTCCGTGTAGACAGCGGCATCCAGGAGGGAAGTGACATCAGCATCTACTACGATCCCATGATCTCTAAGGTCAGACAGTGATTTATTAAATGTAGAAAGGTTTCTTATTTTTCTTCTTATGGTCACAGCAAGAAAGTTGATTACAAAATGCCACCATTCCGTAAGGGTTTGTGGTTCAGCAGTTATTTCCCCTGCTATCTATTTGTAGTTGGTTACCTATGGAACGACACGGGCTGAAGCCCTTGCCAGGATGGAGGACGCTCTGGACAACTACGTTATCAGAGGTACATCAACAGATTTCACCGTGAACATCAGCTAAGAGTCACTTTCTAAATCTGAAGCTCTTTTTTCTTTCGGTTTTGAACTTTGGTAATCTTCTCTCCAGGTGTGACCCACAACATTCCCCTCCTGCGGGAAATCATCACCCACCCTCGCTTTATATCTGGTGACATCAGCACCAACTTCCTGCCCGAGGTTTACCCCGACGGCTTCAAAGGACACCAGCTGAATGAGGACCACCGCAGGGAGCTGCTGGCCGCGGCAGCAGCGCTCTACATCACTGCTCAGCTCCGTTCACAGGCATTCCTGGACGTCCTGAGGTGAGGACGCCAGTAAGCTTGATGTTGTGCGGGGCTACAAGGGGTCTAGTTTGCTATCCCTTCCCTCAAAAGCATCCATAGAGCCTCACTACAGACAGGCCAGATGTTTTATGATTATCAACATGGTGCAAACTGAGATGAAGTTAAAAAAGCCAACATCAGCATGGCTGACCCGTTTTGATTGGCTGGTACTGTTGCAGAGCTCTACGCTTACATTCATCATTTTTTTGAGAAATAAGAATAATGCATCTATTGTTACAGTAAACATAATTTATTCAAGTAAAAACTACAACTCAATAGATTCAGCTGAAAGGTGAGAGGACCCAAACAGTTTTGATGATAAAGATACAACTCTGTTCATTGCAAAATACATTTATATGCTTGGTGTACATGTTAAATATATATTCTTAGTAGCAGATGGTATGAAATGTTGATTATGTATCTGGCATAGTTAAAACAACAGTAGACTGTTGACTTTGGCACACCTTATTTTTAAAAAACTTTCCCTAAATACTGGAGGTCCTGATTCAGATCTATTAAGCTTCTAACCTTAAATTATTGCTGATAGGAATGAAAGTTTAACTTGGAGAAAAAATATTCAGCAACACCTAGAATCTAGAATGTGGTAACAGTTAAGTATATTTAGGTGACACGGTTGAAATAAATAGGGTGTTATTCAACTACTACTAGGGGCCAAAGCTCTCAAGCTTCAAATGAGGTGTGTGTGTGTGTGTGTGTGTGTGTGTGTGTGTGTGTGTGTGTGTGTGTGTGTCGCAGGGTGTCCTCTGCCCCTGTGGAATGTAGCCACTGGGAGCTGTGTGTGGAGCTGGCAGACGGATGGCATTCTGTGGAGGTTACCAAATCAGGAAATGTTTATACTGTGAGTATTTAATGAGCATCCATGAACTAATTAAATATATTAATATCTGTATAATATAAATATTAAAAAGGTAGTAAAGTCAGATCAGTGTGCGCTAGTTTTTTTTTTTATCTTTTCATATTAATATCTGTGTTATTGGTATTGAGTGTCCTGCTCTACTGGAAAGATAAGACGGTCATAATTAAAGCAGTGGTGCTAATCTGTGTATGTAGAGAGTAGATTAAAACACGGTCATGTTATCAACTGTCAAAACCCATGCTCATGTTGTAGAAGAAGAAAATAAAGATCAGTTAGCAGGGAGTGATGTGACTACAGTCCCTGTGTAGACCTACAGCAGGATGTCACTGGTAATGAGTCTGAGGAATCAAGACACTTAACAATAACTTGTGTTTGTCTCTGTAGGTGGAGGTAGATGGAGGAAAGGTGGAAGTCAGTGGACAGTGGAACCTGGCGTCCCCGCTGCTGCCACTCACTATCAACGGCACACACAGGATGCTGCAGGTAACACACACACACACACACACAGGTTCAAGTTGTTACATTATATCATATCTTTTTAAATGTCAGTATCGGGGGGAAAAAAAATTCACCAGTGTTTACAAAGGTTACCTTAAGTGCAGATGATATTTTATCTTTTTGTTTTAGTGTCTGTCCAGAGATGCTTCAGGAAAGATTGTCCTGCAGTACCTGGGCACATCGGTAATGTCTGCAAGGAATTACATGGTCACATACACATCATCACACAGGCTCCTGTCTCTCTAGTTCTCATGCTAGCTAGGTGGGCTATAGTGCAGCAGAGTGTAGTGTTAGCTCCCTCACTCCCACAAAGACAAACAATGTTGTGGTCATTTTTACCTCAGTCAGAGGCATCGAAGGAGGAAATCGGATCACAGAAATCCCATAGGGTTCTACAGCTACTTCTGTATACATTACAAATGGTAAATGGCTGCTGAAATAAATGGCCTACTAAAGCTTTAAGATGAGGTTGCTTGTTTTAAATGTGTCATTAATTATTCCCTAAATTAATTTTTATTTATTTGTAAAGTGACTTTATATAAACAAATAAATATGGCCTCCAAACATGCCCATAAAGTAGATTTATTCAATGCTCAGATCCAGTAAGTTTTATGTAAAGAGCCGCCTGCAGCAGAGATGTTGAGCAGTGACAGAGGTCTGTGGGCTCACTTCTAAATATCTCCACACCAACAGATTTCTTTCATTTTCATACTTGCTGACTCAAGTGACATCATTTGATTTATCAGACTTTAACAGCCCCCCCTTGGAGGCACCGAAGGCTTTATACTACTTCACTACTTTCAAATATGAAGTAGTATGTAGTATTTTGCATATTAGAACTTTTTAAGAGGCACATTTTACATTAGTGACGATTGCTCATTCATTACACTATAACGTATTAATCCTTGCACCTAACTGTCTTTGAACATGTTAATTTCTTTTTTTTTGTATTTGTTATTATTTTGTAAACCATAGCACTGAAGAAATGCAATTTAATTTTGCTGTGTACTGAATATTGTATATGGAAAGAATGATAAAGTGGACCTTGTATCTTGTAGCCTATACCTTAAGACCCGTCATCTTTAAGAGCAACTGCTCTTTGTTTTATTGGAAATCATTTCCTCTTGATTATATTGCAGTACAAGACGCCTCCTTCCTGTGTTTCTCATACTCTGTATTTTTATGTAGTTTAAGGTTCGCGTTCTGACCAAGCTGGCTGCAGAGTTGAACTCCTATATGCCAGAGAAGGTTCCGGAAGACACCAGCAGCATCTTGCGGTCACCGATGCCCGGCACAGTGGTGGCTGTGTCCGTCAAGCCTGGAGATACGGTAACACATCCTAATATGTGGTTAGGATGAGGTTAACAACATACCTGAAAGCTGCATACGACAGCATACAGCATATAGGGCTGCTCGATTTAATATTGAGATCACAATTATTTAACGATTGCTCATGGAGTTGACGGCTTGTTACGTTACGTAGTGCTGAAATTTCAACTGTGGTGTTCTGTCAGGAGATACAGTGACTTTAAACTAATGGAGAGGACAAAAGTACAAATAATATGTAATCTGTTAAGTTATGAGTAGAGGAAAAGTCCGCTAGCTGCTAGGCTAATTTATGCAGTGTAAAATAAGATAATAATGTTGACTAACAAGTGATAGCAGTTATAACCCCGATCATGTTGGCTCAGGCTGATCTAAACTTGCCACAGCCTGGCTGAGAGGGAGTTGGGGCTTTTAGGGAGGAGCGGGAGCCACAGCTGTGAAGGGTCAGGGGTATGCTGGATTTATAACGCAGGACAAAACCAGAGCACAAAATGCGGCAAAAAACAGTTTTATCTTGATTGTCTTTGATCAACTTTTGAAGCCTAAATCGGGATTGAAAATAAAATTAGACATTTATAGACCTACAGTGATATTTTAGACAGTAGTGTGCTTCCCTTTCTTGTCTCCACAAGCCAATGAGCTAGTGGCTGTGAGCCAGACCTGATCACCCAACATTGAACCTCATTAATGGTCATGTGGCTAAACTGAAAGCCAGGTTCCAAAATCAGGTGGAAAGCCAGAAACCAGAAGATCGCAGGCTGTTGTCGCAGCAGACCAATGCTCAATTGTTTTGGAGTGACATGTTCGACTTTCACAGTGGCATTTTCAGGTGTCCACTTACTTCTATAATACATACCTTTGGTGACAGCCCTCTTGGTCAATCCAAGCTGTAAATGAGTAAGCGGTGGTTATTGTAGTGTCGGTGCCACGATGAGCTGAAAACAAATGTGACTAATCGCTCGAGGGTGCTGGTTGCCACTACTTTGTCAACATCTTCATTACATTTGGGATAAGAGGTGAGACAAGCTGTGAGTAATGCTACTAGGCTGTCATTCTCACTCTGGTCGCTCCTGTGTTTGTAGGTTGCAGAGGGTCAGGAGATCTGTGTGATCGAAGCCATGAAGATGCAGAACAGTTTGACTGCAGTCAAGCAAGCAAAGGTAACTATATACAATCGTAATAGTGGAGCTCTATTATCATGGGTGTGTTGCTCAATCAGCAGATGAGATCAGTGCATCCCTATTAATGAATATAAAGAAGCAGCAGCCAGTCCACAGAATACTGGCTGGTGCAGTCATTAGGACCTAATTAATCATGGAGGTTTGATGAAACAGACTTTCGGCTTGTGGCCTTTTATGAAGCATAAACTGATATCCTGTGTGTTTGTCCTCCCGCCCTCCAGGTTAAGAGTGTCCACTGTAAGCCAGGGGAGACGGTGGGAGAGGGAGACCTGCTGGTGGAGCTTGAATAAAACACTACCTTTTGACCTTTTTGATGTGTGACGTCAGCACCGGGATGTTTTTATGAAGACCCACGCCAGCAAACAGACTGGACAATAACCGACGCTTGATTTATCTTGCCAGTCTCCACAGTGGCCCCCAGCAGAGTTTAGTTTCCCTCACGGTGCCTCAGAGCTGAGCTACATTGGCTGTTACGGTGTCTTCTCCACATGTCGAACTCCTTCATGTTGCTTTTTTGGATGCAACTGTGCAATGAATCATTCTCCTCTGATTCTGTTTTGTGTGTTTTCTAGACCTGATTGTTAGTTTTTCTTAACGGGTCAGTCACCCACATTACAAAAAATTATTCTCATTTTACCTCATGCTCTTTGGCCTTGCAGATAGTTTTGGTTTATGTGCCAAGGTTTTGAGATATTCACATAGGAAATGCTACTTCACTACAATAGTAGGACATTGACCTTTGGTTGACAAGCTGCTTTTTCAAGTTTTTCAAGTGTCGTTTTCTGTGATTTGAGCACCAAAAAGAAAGTTCCGTTCGTCTCTGCTGTATTGGAGTGGAGTCAGAAATCTCAGACGGATAGCTCAAAATCTTGTCGGATTAAACTAAAACAATATGCATAGCTTGATACTAATGTAAGTAGGAAGAATTCTGTTGTAATTTGATTGAACTGACACTTTAAGAGAGACCCTACATATAACCAATAAAGTGCTCCTTTTTTCCACTTGTGTAACTGACTGTCTGGCTAGATCAGAAACAATAGTTAAAATAAGAAAAGTAATGCCATAATGTGACTAATAGAGAGTATATGATGCTGATGATGTAATGAATGCCTATTTTGATTACTGTTCAGGCTGTACACTGACAGGACACACAAGTAGTTGTCACTTACAGATGGGTGACAGATTAAAAGGAGACACCTGAATAAATGAGTCAAACAGCAGTGAGGAGGTCTGACAGCTGGTTGTGCTGTGCAGGGTTTTCCTGACATGGTTTGAGGAAGGGTCGCTGCAAATCAAGTTAGTCACCTAATCATTCCGTTTGCCTGCTTATGATGATTTTTGATTTCCTGCTGCTTCTTCGCTGTTTTGGGCTGCTTACCTGTCTGGTTACATTGTAACCTGGGTTCTCTGATTCAAGAGACTATCCCTCCACTGCATTACTTTTCCACATGAGTGGGGAATGAGCCCCCAGAGTAAGTCGATACGTCTTCAACACTCTGACTTGCCCAAAACATGTGCTGGTGTGGAATAACTGATAGTTTGATCCAAATATGTCTCTGATTGGCCTAACAGCAGTACCAACCCCAGCCACCGCCTGTTTATTCTGGTGCCATCTTGAAAGAGATATGGATGCATCTGCTGTCGCACCTCCAGACTGCAGAGCAGCTATATTTTAATTGGTCTGCCTCATTGATTGCCCTGATCTTAAAATTTAAATTATTGGTGTTTACTTGGGCTACTTTTAACCCTCTGAAAATGACGGTGGATCGTCTGCCATTAACATTACTGTCTTCACCTCAATGTCAAATGATTGCTTGTAATAATTTTTAGTAGCCACTTTGTGACCTGCTCTGCTCAACTCTCCATGGTGGTTTCTGAAACTTTGTTTCATGATGTTAAGCTTTGCTAGGTGATGTTGATCTCTCATGACATTGAAGCTATTGTGCTGATTAGTTTGACTAATGAGTAATTTATGTTCTACACTGCAAATTATGCTCCAATCTACATTTCTGGCTGACTGCCTTCAATCCAGACAACGGCTGATTTTTAGCTTAAACCAGTGATTATTAAAAAGATGGATGCAACCGACAGTTATTTTAACCCATACAATACCCAGGAAGTGAAGGTTTCCAAGGTTATGAATAGTTAAGACCTTAGCATTACTAAAAACAATGTATGGGATCAATTATGTTTACAAAAACATAAAACAATGTCTGGAGGAGCTTCAGCCAAAAATATAAAAAGGGGGTAAGAACTAGTTAGGGGGAGGGCCACTATCTTCTACAGTCAAGATGAAACAATTGGTTAACTCTCTCAGCCTCATACGGAACACCTAGGCATACAAATAACAGAAACAAAAGCAGCTCAAAAGAACTCCCCACATAGATGAGGGGGCATTGTGTTGCAGCCTGAGTGTTTGCCTGGTCTATAGAGAAGCATAAATGAGCTACGCCTGGTGCTAACTGGAACCTGATTGGACCATCATTCTACATGTGCAATTTATCAAGATCACTTTGTGAGATCTGTTTTCACTTTTCCTGTTAATCAGTGTCAAAAAAGACACATAAAATCTACTTTGGTTCAATTATGTACAATAATAAAACTTCTTCTAATCTCAGACAAAACAATGTGTAACTTTTTCAGACAACCAACACACCAAGTTCCATCTGTGTCTGCCTTGTGATCTTCAGATTACCACAACAAGCTGTGCGTCCCTAAATAAGAGGTATATGTTCATCCTTTGTAGATAAAGCAAAGGGTGCTGATTTGATTTGAGGATAAACCCCCTGAGATGCACCATCTTGTTTGCAAGAGGGTCCTCAGACACACAAGCATGGAAATGAACAGACATTTAAACAAAAAAAAAAAAACATAAATAATAATTAAGATAATAAATGAAACAACCAATCGAAATGACACAAAACAAACTCATGACAAGAAGCCATCATTCTGAGTGAGTTAGGCAAATTATTCCAGTCCTTAAAACTTAGAAATATGTCTCCAAATTTCATTACAAATTCTAGGCACAGTAAGAAAAAGGTGTTCAGTGTGTGATCTAACTGGAACGAAATGCTGTTTTAAGTAAAAAGGATAGTTAAAGTAAATGCATTTAAAAGCAAAGACCAACCAGTTAAGTGCATCAGACATGAAACAATGATGCGTGCGATAAAGATCTCAATACAAATCTACAGATATTAATGTAAGCTGCTATTAGTGTAATCATTATAAAACCTTAATCTTGCAGAACTGCATAAGATAATAAAAGCATTTCAGTAAAGTAACATTTATTTAATCTCGGGAAAAGTCTATGCTTATTATCTTAATGTATGATCCTCAGGAGTGTTAGTGTCTGTATGGTAAATAAACTAATTCCTATTTTGTAATAAAAACCAACTGCAAGAGGTCACAGGCGAGGGAGCACCAAGGATCTCTATCATCCTATTGCTCTCACAGCTAGTATCCAATCACAAGAGCACGTCAAAGCAATGAGTGACTAGCCAATCACAGCACAGTAGGGTGGGAACTAACACAAACTGGGTTGGGAAAGCTAGTTTTCATCAGTGTCTTGTCTGGCTTTGGCTGCCTCTCTCGGGTCCACTTTCTTCAAGTGACAGGACAGGATTTGTTTTTCTTTCAGGGACAGGTCTGGCATGGGGTGACTTCAACAGGTTAAGTCGTTCACCAGCAACATCTGCAGGCTTGGTATTCATGCAGTATGATTGCTGTCACTGCGAACGCTCCGGCTTCCTTCAGCAAGTTCACAGCACTCATCTTCATCATCTAGGCTAAGTGGCCTAACAGCAGTGACAGGAAGGTACTTGCTTTCCCAGTATCTATCAACCATGCCCACTTGGGCTCCCAAGCACTGACCGCTTTGGTGAGACAATTGGTGAGAGCTTTGCTTCCAATGAGCTTGGCATCATTGCAACATTGTGTCCAAATGTCCAAAGTTGGTTAATAAATGATCTAGAGGGTGTGATGGACAGAAAGACAGGGGCGGGTCAGTTTAATCACACTATGTGTATAAAAGATCTGACTGCCTGTATCAACGACTGCAGACTAACTCAAGTCTGTTGTTCAATAAAGACTTTGAAGAGCTTCGTCTGTCTCTTGCAAAGATTCTTTTGTCAATTCGTGAAAACAAGGAATTATACGACATGTACAGTCAGGACTATCCTGTTCAGCACACTTGTCACAGCCATATGATTTCTCTCTTGCCTTCCCAGGAGTGACAGACTTATTCTGACTTTTGTGTCTGTATCGACCGTAGGGGTGATTTACACTGGGGACGCTGGGGACATGTCCCCACCACTTTTTGAAATTGCTGATTTTATCCCCACCACTTTTTTAAAGCATAATTTGTTAAACGTTCAGAAATATAGCTTGCAGTTAGTAACAAATGAAAAGGCCTTTAAAAAGGTTTATTTGCACATTCAGATAACATGCAATGCAAACAAAACATAGAAGAAACAAATGTGCATTGTCCAAGAAAAGTAACTTAAGCTAAAAAAAAAGAAGCTACTGTAAAATGACCCAAACACGAGCATGCACCAATCGGTAACTTTAACAACTCTTGATAGTATTTGTTTGGCCAAATTTTCCGTTCTCTCCCTTTGAACATGACAAAAGAGGAGGGAAGACTAAATCATGCCTACAGATGTTTTGCCTCAGCAGGGATGATATTACATGAGAAAAGTTCTGAAACAGATCTGAAAGCAGCACAGAATGTCTGAGATCTGCACTGACTTATATTCTGTTATATTTATATATTTTGAAATGTCAAGTACCACCTGAATTTTGTGTTTCCTTTTACATAAATAAATACGTTTCCACCATAAATTAGTGCAGAAACTTTCATCAGAATGCAGGAAATGAAGTGTTTAAAGATCAAAATTTCCTGCTTTTCCCTGCTCATATAGCTCTGCATTGAGGATATCTTTAAAACACTGTTGAAGGATATCTTTGTCTCGTTCTTGTGAACCTAATATCGTGTATTGTACTGTCTCGCGAGCTAAGTGTCTCTTCACACCACTAATCTGAGCCACTATGTCCCCATCACTTTTCTACACAAAGTGACGCCCTTGGTATACACTGACCTGTAATAAACGCCATTGTGGCTGAAGACGCGTCTTGTTAGCAGAGGCCTTTTGTTGTCACCTGCTGCAGTATCATCTTTCATCATGACCTACTGTATATATCAACACCAAAGAAGAATATCTTCCTCAGTCTCAGATGAACATCATCAGATTCAGTCCACTTCTGCCACAGTCTGGAATGTTAGCACATATTAGCAAGTCTTGACGATCTCTTCTGTTGGATCTTGCTCCAACTTGGACACCAGCAGACATTGTGCATCAGTGAAGTCCAATCCAAAAAGTGTGAAAGCGATCCTGAGTGTTTGAGCTTGTTTGCTGGAAATGGCTGCCTATGGTCTTATATAGGGGTTCAGCCATAGTTTGGCGTGGCCCTGTTGGAGAGGTCAGTATTTTGACCTTATAATCCCAGATATCCCTCATCTTTACAAAGAGAACATATCAATAGTTCTAATATCAGACTCTCTACTCCAGCCAATGATCGTGCAGCATGGACCACTAATTATAGTCTCTGAGTCAGCTGATTGGTTTGTAAGAGGAACAATGTAAAAAAGGGACAGAGAAAAATAATTCTAAATAGTGTAAGCATGAAAATAGTGGGGGGACTTCTGTTAAGCTTTATTTGTTGTGCTGCTGGCAATCTTTTGTGTTGTTATCGGAAGGAATGAGTAAGTTCCAGGATTAATGTCGGTGGTCAACACCGACATTACAGATTCTGATTCAACCATCTAAATCCTCCTCTTCACTAAAGAAACATCAAAATGTTACCTGATGTTTTAGTTTCTCCTCTCAAGCTAAACCATGACAGTAAAAAGCAACTTTCTTAATAAAATCTTTTATAGTGAACAAGTGAGTGAGTTCAGCTTCTAAATAATTAGCTGTGCTCATGCGGCAGAGAAAGCTCAGAAAAGG